TTTCAGCAACTGGAATACATCCTCCTCAGTGTGGTACAGTATTTTGGGGAGTAACTGTACCAAAATGCAAAAGCTCTCAGACTGAGTGAGTACCTGCCCATGGAAACACAGAGTTAAGCCAGTGGAACACATCCACCATCTGTTCTCAGGGGGCAGGTGAAAATCATTGGAGACTATGGGGAAAGTCTGGGCACATGAGGACTGGACCCCTGAAGGGGGCTTGCCCACGCAAGTTCCTTTCCCAGAGATTGACTGTAGGGTTAAGATTATTTCCGTGCTCGGGGCCCATCCGCAAGCGTTACAACTCGGGCTCATGGTGTAGTTTCCTATAATTGCAGTGCCTTCATAATAAGGTGGCCGGGGACTATAGCATAGCCAGCAGGACCAGGTGAGATCAGGGCTGGTGCTATTGAGAAAAAGGTAGGCATTGCTTAGTATATCCCAGAGAGGGTGGGAGGAAGCGTTCCAGAGAAAGTATGAGGATGCATTTAGTACAGGGGTTTTCTTTATAGTGACAATAGCTGTAGTGTTACCACAGCGCGAGGTGTGGATGGTAGTAGTGGAGGGTGCACTGCTTGGCTCAGGTCTAGGAATTGATTCAGTAGTTGGCTTATCTGTGGGTGGTGCGAACCCCCGAATATGGTGTCCAATATTAGATCGGGTGAGCCCCGGGACGGCGCTGAGGGTTTGAACTTTTAGTCTAATCATGAAAAGACTTCCTAGATCACGCCATCCTGTTCTAGGGTTGTCATGTAACCTGATTCCCCACGTTTTCCCGACCGTCCAGTCTGTAACTCGGCGCCCCACTGGGGTGAAGTCTATCATGAGGGGGTCATAGTAGGAGAGAGCGGATGTCACAAACATACCCTGAATCTGACAGGGCCCCTTCTTATAACCTGAGGGATTTTTTTTTATAGTGATTAAGTCATTGGTTTTGGCAGGGACCCAAGGTACGGTGCATGTGGAGACATAGGCCCATGCTGGGCAATAATATTGGCCGGGGTCTGCGCATGCCTCGTCCTGGTCATGGCCAGGGCATACATAAAACTGATTGTTATAGCCTAGCTTTGAAATTACTTTGGTTACCGCGCCAGCCCAGTCAGAGTATTGGTACATTTCCTTTAGGTCACAGGTGAGGGTTGGGAACCAAGTGTTGAGGGAAGCGAGGTTGGAAGTTTGAAAAATTATTCTGTTGATCTCTGACCTGAGGGTTAACAACTGCCATGTTAAGTTTAGAGGTTGGTAAGGATTAGGGACTGCCTAAAGGGATCCCATCCCCGTCACGAAGAAGCAGAAGGAGAAGAAGTGCGACACAGTCTTAGCTTTAGAGGATTGTCCTTGTCCAGTCGGCTGCTCCATTCGGGTGCGAAGTCTTTCAGCACAGCAGGGGTGTCAGCAAGTTTGAAGTGGGTGTGGCGTATCCAAGACGCGATACCTTCCACCTTCAAGGCAGTGGGGGTGGACAGGATCACAACGTACGGTCCTTTCCACCGCGGCTGCAGAGTCTCGTGTTGATGTCGCCGGATGTACACCCAGTCCCCCCGTTGGTAGTTGTGGGGAGTCGGTGGTGGTCCGGTCTCATAAAGGGCTTTCAGTCTGGGCCACACCTGCTCGTGGACCCTTTGCAGAGTTTGGAGGGAAAAAATGAGTTTTTAATTATCTATGTCTATTAATAGTTCTGTTCTTAGGTTAGGTATGACCGGTGGAGGCACGCCAAACGTGATTTCAAAAGGAGTAAACCCTAGCTTATAGGGTGAGTTGTGCACCCTATATGGCACAAAGGGAAAGAGAGTCACCCAGTCCCTGCCAGTCTCCTGGACTAATTTAGTCAAGGTCTCTTTTAGGGTTCTATTCATTCTTTCTACCTGTCCTGAGCTCTAGGGCCTGTATGCACAATGTAATTTCCAATCCGCCCCCAGGGTCTGAGCTACTCCCTGTATTACCTTAGAGATGAAGCTGGGGCCGTTGTCTGATCCAATCTGGACCGAGAAGCCATACCTGGGCATCAGATCTTCCAAGAGTTTCTTGGCCACCACCTCTATGGTTTCATTCTTGGTGGGGAATGCCTCCGTCCACCCTGAAAAGGTGTCTACCAACAGTAGTAAGTACTTGTATCCGTACTTTCCTGGTCTCACCTCAGTGAAGTCCACTTCCCAGTACACTCCTGGCCGGTTTCCTCGAAGTCTGGTCCCCGGGTTTTGTTTGGGACTGGTTGCGTTGACAACCTGACAAGCCTGACATTGATTTACAATTTGTCCGATCATTTGTCGACTGTTGAGCATAACCATGTTTGCATGGCATATTAATTCTTCCATTTTTCTGGTTCCTATGTGGGTACTTCTGTGCATTTTTATAAGCAGTTGCCGACCCAACTGTTCTGGAAGGATGACATTCCATTTGCTGGTGGTCGTATCCCAGTGTTGGAGCCACCACCAGCCATTTGAGAACATAACTCCAGGCTACCCGTTTATCCATTTTAAATCCTCCTCTGTATAATTCGGGCTTTCAGGCAGATCTGGGGGCCCAGGGTCTGGCAGTGTGGTCACTAGGACATGGTCCACAGAAAGGGCCGCCTTTTTGGTCTCAGCATCTGCCAGACGGTTTCCCTGTGCCACTGGCGTGTCCTTTTGCTGGTGTCCTGGACAATGTATTATGTTCAGTGCTTTGGGTAGCCAGAGTGCCTGTAACAACTTAAGGATTTCAGTTTTATTTTTGATAGCCTTTCCTTCTGCAGTTAAGAGCCCCCTCTCCTTATAGATGGCTCCATGAATGTGCGCAGTTGCAAAAGCATACTTGCTGTCAGTATAAACATTTATTCTCTGCCCTTTTCCCATGACAAGGGCTTTAGTGAGGGCAATGAGCTCAGCTTGCTGTGCCGAGGTTCAGGCCGCAAGTGGCGCTGCCCATAAGGTCTCAGTCTCTGTAGTCACCGCTGCCCCAGCATACCTGGTTCCATCCCGCACGAAGCTGCTGCCGTCTGTATACCAGGTTTCTTAGGCGTTGGTTAGGGGCCGGTCCCGGAGGTCTTCCCTTAATCCGTGGACCTGCTCCAGGATGTCCTGGCAGTCGTGCAGGGGTCCTTCCCCCATCCGGGTTGGGTAGCAGGGTGGCTGGATTTAGAGTAGCTGGAACCTGAAACAAGATTCTGGCTGGGTTTAAAAGGAGACTTTGATAATAAGTTAGCTGGGCATTACTTATCCATTTGTCGGGTGGCTGTTTTAGAACTCCCTACACAGCATGAGGGGTGGTGATATGTGGTTCTTTTCCCATGGTGATTTTGTCAGCATTCTTGACCATAGTGGCAACTGCCGTGATGATTCATAGGCATGGGGGCCACCCGGCAGCCACAGAGTCTAACCTTTTTGACAAGTATGCCACTGGCCTCTTCCATGGCCCTATTTGCTGCAACAGCACTCCTTTAGTTATTCCCTTAGACTCATCAACAAACAAAAGGGTTTAGTCAGATATGGCAGTCCCAGAGCTGGGGCTGACACGAGGGCTTGTTTAAGAGTTTCAAACATGTTTTCCGTCCATATGAGGTCGGACTCATTTTTGGTGGCCTCATATAATGGCCGGGCGAGCTCAGCAAACCCAGGAATCCATAGGTGGCAAAAGTCAGCTGATCGTAAGAACTCATGTACCTGTCATACATTCTGTGGTTGTGGAATTCTCAGTACCGTTTCCTTCCGGGCATCCGACAGCCATCTCTGCCCATCTTTCAGTTTGTAGCCCAGGTAACTTACTTCAGTTTTGCAGATCTGAACCTTTTTGGTCGAGGCTTGATAGCCCAGAGCACCTAGTGTTTGCAGCAAATCTCTGGTGCCTTGCACGCGTCCCGATTTTCTGCGGCTAGCAGAATATCATCCACATACTGCAACAGGGTTAGGGTGGGGTGTGTGCTACGGAACTCACCCAGGTTTTCATGTAAGGCTTCATCGAAGATGGTGGGAGAGTTTTTAAATCCTTGGGGAAGCCGGGTCCAGGTGAGTTGCCCACTGATTCCTCTTTCTGGGTCCAGCCACTCGAAGGTGAAGATGTCCTGACTCCATGGGGTCAATGGTAAACTGAAAAAGGCATCTTTTAAATCTAATACCGTGTACCAAACCTTGTCTGGGGCCAGGGCAGTGAGGAAGGTATAGGGGTTAGGGACCGTGGGGTGTATGTCCATCACCCAGAGGTTTACTTCCCGTAAGTCCTGAACAGGCCAGTAGTCAGTTGAATTTGGCTTTTGCACTGGCAGCATGGGTGTGTTCCAGGCAGACTGACAAGGCCTCAATATTCCTTCATCCAGTAGCCGCCGTATGTGGGGGGTTATCCCATTTCATGCTGCCACAGGGATTGGATACTGCCGGACCCGGGCTGGGTCTGCTCCGGGCTTTAGTTCCACAAACACTGCTGGCCTGTGTTTAGCCAACCCTATTCCTCCAGTTTCTGCCCAGGCTAGGGGAATTTCCCGAAGCCAGTCCTGAATGTCCAATTTCATCTCCGGGTCGTGGGCCTGACACAGCCTGTATTCATCTTCTAATTTTACAGTTAGAATCTGCAGGGAGCGCCTAACTGAGTCTGTTACTGTCACCCCGTCCAACCGAAAGCTGAGGTTTGCTTCCACTTTGGTCAACAGATCTCTCCCAAACAAAGGGTATGGGCAATCAGGAAGAACTAATAACTCATGGGCGACCATACCAGTGCTTAAATTCACTGTTCTCTTAGTGGTCCAGTGTGCCGGTCTTATCTCGTTAGCTCCTTAAACCCATGAGATTTTGTCTGAGAGAGGACCTTGTGGTTTTAATAAAACGGATTGCTCCATTCCTGAATCCACATGAAAAGTTAAGGGCTTCCCCCCTACCTCCAAGGTTACCCGGGGCTCAGGGGGGTACTCTGAGCCCTGACCTTCCTATTGTTATAAGCTTTCTCAGCCACCTCCAGCAGATACTGTAAACTTTTCTTTCCTAATCTTTTTACTTTCTGTGCTTCCTTATGGTATCTGGTGCTGCCTGATTAACGAATGCCATGATTACAGTCTCTTTGGTTTCTGGTGCCTCTGGATTCATTGG